TATATAGGCTTTGGCATAAATATTTCAATTTTTGTATGATAATAATTGAATTAATGAATAATAAATAATTTAATAATTAAAGAATGATACTATTTATCTTTTGTTAATAATATTTGGACTACATACGTTTCTAAAAATGTTGAGGTACATAGCTTAGTAATGTAAAAAATTGTAAATACAATATCACTAATTAAGGTTTTATGTAACAAATGCACATGACTTATTAAGCTTCATATTTTAGACGCTTTTCAAAAAATTAAAAAGAAATCTTAACTAAGTCAAACAATGATACTATTTTTACCTTATGTTAATAATATTTGAACTACATACGTTTATACAAATTTTGAGGTACAGAGCTTAGTACAGTGATACACACACACACATACACACATATATATATATATATATATATATATACATATATATATATATATTATATACAGTATATATATAGGCTTTGACATAAATATTTCAATTTTTGTATAATATATATAATAATTGAATTAATGAATAATAAATAATTGAATAATTAAAGAATGATACTATTTTTATCTTTGGTTAATAATATTAGGACTACATACGTTTCTAAAAATGTTGAGGTACATAGCTTAGTAATGTAGAACTAATTCGAACTGATTCATTGAGCGTAAAATGCATCGATAATGTTGAACTCTTATAAATTTAGTTAAAGACTTTCCACACGAATAAAATAGTCGAGTGGTGCTGGTGCACAAGATATCCATTCTTAGAAGTCTTATGAAAATAAGCCTATCCAATTTAACATGAAAGGATCGGGTACCAGGACATATCTTCGACTTTAAATTGAAAAAGATAAAATAAAAATGTTAAATAGAGACACAATGTTTATTTAAGTAAAATTTAGTTCTTCAGTACCATCTGGCTTTAGAGAAAAGAAATACCATAAGTTTTGGCAATACCAAGGAATGACTATCAGATTTCCTTACATTGGTTAATCATTGCCATCTAAGTTTTTGCATCATGGTTTATCGGGTGTCTGGCTGGTACCGTATAGGTAGATTCACACCAAATCCGAATTTGGTTATGTCAGTTTGTTTTTCAGTCTGGATTATTTCTACCGCCTGATGGTTAATGTAACGTGAAATAATTCAGGTGGATTTTCAGCATTGCTGGTTTCTCAGTAGAAATTGGAGTGGTTCAGTATTATGGTGTGTCAGATTATACAGTTTTCTCCATACTTGCTATTATTGTCTGATTTCTTTTTTATATGCCACGATTACATGCACATTTTCTGCAGATGTTTTTGTAAGAATCACGAAATGATTTATGTGCAACACCATATATTACTGGGTTCAATGCTGAATTAAAGTATATGAAACATACAAGAATGTCAAACACCGTCGAACAATCATGACTGTCCAGCTGATCAGTACAAATATCGTAGATGATGAAGCAGATGAGGGGTACCATTGACATACTGAATGCACCAAGGATCATTGCAGTCATTCTTACTGCCTTAAAGTTATACTTCATCGTTTGCAATTGATCACTAGTTAAATTCTGGCGAAATGCTCTTCTAGCTTTGAAATATATACGCATATGAAAACCATACATCGGAAAACACACCACTATAAAAAATACTTGGAAGAAAGCTAAGTATTCGACTATTGACTGTGTTGTGGCACAGACAGCCGATATAAGTAGCAACCATAATATCCACAAACAAAATAAAATTATGCTGATTGATTTATTATTCACTTTATCAATATACGTATACGGAAAGAAGATCGCCAGATACCTTTCGGCTATCAAAACAATGTGATGAAAAAAAGAAAATATAACATGCAGGCAAATTATAGCGAATATCATGTTTCCTAAATTACCTTCAGTATTGTAAAATTGTCGCGTGAACCTCCAATTTACAGATAATGCTATTCCCCAGCACGCGGTTAATACGTCGATCAACGACATGCTAGCCAGAATAATGTAACACGGTTTCTTTAACGCTGGAGTAGAAATGATGGCAATTATAGCAATTATATTTCCGAAAAGGATAATTGACGTCGTTAAGAATATGACTACAGCCAATGTTCCAGGAAAATAACACAAGGCTATTATTTCTGTGTTGTTTAGCATCTTGAGAGTTCTTCTCTGAGTAGCATCAGTAGACACAAACTGTGGGATGATGCGAAAAGATTTAGGTTGTGAATATACGATATTAATGAAATGAGAACATCATTTTTGGCTGGCCACTATTATAGACATCTGTACGCTCCAATTATTGTAAAATAAGATGATAAGATGTAAACAATTTTCAATTGAATTCCGCACAAAAATAACCATCGTGTGATAAGCCGTGTCCTTTTGCCAATTGGAATATTATATTTTAAATACCGTTTCTGATTGTCTATACTTATCATTATTATAATATTTATTATATTTTACTCCTCGAGTTTTTAATCATATATTTTTAATTACTCAATTTAAATGTATTAGTACATTTAAATTACTTCAATGTTATTCTTACTTTAATTTAATTCGTGACGGGGGATGTTTCGCACTCTTTGTTCGAGGGGACCTACAGGTTAGCCAAAAGATTGGCCAATGCCCCACAGTGTCCTGCAATGCCTTGTGCAAGTGTGAACCATGACTTTACAAAGTAACATTTGCTTGTTTCTCGCTTTCACACGTCAAGGGTATCTGATAATTACATAAAGTAAAAATGTTCTATGCTTGATTTCCACGACAACGTTGGAGTTTTTAGAAAGTAAGTGACGTTAACGTTATTTCGAGACGACCAAAACCGTGTTCAACGCAGTTCTATAGGAACTTTGCTAAACCAATCAGCGTTGTTAAACGGGCACTCACTGAGCGTCGTACGACAGTCGTACAACGAATCCAACTCTGTCGCCTATTATGAGCAGAACCGTCTGCTGATTGTCGGTGGCAGTGTGAACGGATCGTCATTAAAAATAAACCGTTGCGCGCGCGTCGTGGCGTTGTGCTTACCACAGAATTGCGTCGGCCGACGTCCGCCTGGTGCATTGAATACCCGGCTTTTGGGATCTGATAATCCTTGTTCGTTAAACATCATGGAGTGGGTACTTCATATTCTTCAGCGCCGGAATTTGATGGGTTTGTTAGTATAAACAAGTTTATTTTTGTTTATGTTGATGAGCTTTTTTGTTACTACAGCCTGTTATTCAAACTACTTTTATCTTAGTTTCATTTAATAACATAATGTATGTATGTCCTACTATGCTACGACATGAGTTTTGAAAAATTAACAAAGTTTTGGTCTTACCTACAATTAAATTAGTATTGATATTTTCTAAATTATTGATATGAATTATCTTTCAGAATAATTTCATGTGGTTTGTAATATATACACCTAACATTACAGTTCATTGCCTAATAAGTGTCACGCAGCGGCCCGTAGCGTGACTTAATTTGTTAGAGGTTGGTTTCAGTGGAAAGTGGACCCTTATCTCCGATACTCTGAAGAACCTTGTAAATATATCTACGAATATCATTTTTTCGTTTTTAAATGCGGACCTTCTCCACTTTTTGGGAGGTTCTTTGTAACCCCTTTAACCCCCACCCACATCGCGATAAATTGCATTTGTACTCGCTCACCTTGGTAATCTAAATAACTTAAAGGGTTTTCTGGTCTATAAATTTATTACTTTGGATACATGAATAGTTTTTGCAGGCCTACTTAAATGTATCCGATACCAGTACTTTTTCCTTCTTGCCGACTGGTTTAATTACAAAAGACGTAATGAATGCAATAATTACATTAACAATTTGTATTTGGTTAAAGTAACTTTATTTCAAAGTAAAGGGAACGTGTTTATTAACCCATAACAATTACGAATTGAACAATACAATATGTATATGCGTACACCCTGTTCACAGTGCAACATTGTATCATCTGTCAACATATATTAACTCTAGCCTATGTCTAACCATGGAGGAATGATTTAGAATAATGCATTTATTCCGTCAGGGTCTGCTATAATCTTTGTGTTGCATGGGCCATATGTGGAGACATAACTACAAAATATACCTTAAGGGGGAAAGTCTGCTATTATTAAACGAAAAAAAAAATCAAAAAAGCTGTAGCGTTGCAACATTCTACATTTACACGGTGTCTCAAACAGGATGATATTTCATCTTAGTTTTATTTATTTATCATGGAAATAAATATCATTTTCTTATACGACTAATTCTAGTCTGAATGCTATTATCTTACTAATAACAGTTGCCGATGCAGTTTTGCTGCCGCCAATTTTCAGTGCATTCTGTAAACTACTACCAAAAAACAATTAAAAAAAAGTAGCAGAGTGTTAAATAATTTAATATTATTATTAGTGTTATTAATTATTTTCATAATTATAATGTCCACTTGTTTCGTCGAAACTTGGCAAAACTATAACAAGCTAATAAATGGCCTAATCACAGGTCTATGGGTTGAGACGGTCAATCATGGGATTATCGTCCCAGGCTGGTAGGGTTTCTATGGATTGTAAGGCTTCATCAGTGACCGGCCAGCCCCATGCCTTGTAGAATGGGCCGAGATTGAAACCTGTCAACTTTGATGAGAGTACCATCCAAACATCTAATTGTTCTGTATTTGTTTTTGGTGACTTAAATGATGGGTTGTTATATTGACCTAACATATCAGAGATAAATTTCCATCCGAAAGCTTCTTGCAGTTGAAGATAGGTCTCAAGACATGTCCAAACATTCCAGTTCTTATACTGAGAGCCTTCTATGACGTAGTCCTCCACTCTCTGTATTCGTTTCTCCTTCTTTAGCGCCCCGTGTGCCATCTCGCGAGGTATCTTCATAACTTCCTCTGAGGCATAAACTGAGTAAATGTTACAAGTAGCTTCTTTCGTCCCTACTGGATTCCATCCATTGCTTTGATGCTGGTGCCCCAGTTCATGTAACGGACCCCAGATATTATTGTTTCTTACACGGTCTAGGCTTATCATCTTATCTGAATTTGTTATGGGTCCCATAATCGGATACCCAGCATGCATCTGACCTTTAGAGATCTGAACATCAAGAACAAAACGCTCTTCTCTAGGTCTTTTAACGTCAATACCAGATAACTCAGCATAACTGCAGACGACCCGTTCATATATTTCCATTATCGCCTGTGCGTCTTCCCAGTGTTTTAATGCATCTGACGAAGGTAGGGTGATGATGATATTTTCAGAAATTAGCTCACAAAATGGTACGTTATGGTTTTCCATTGATAGTTGCCATTCTTCTAGACTTGTTTTACCAGCAAAAAACTGCGGAGACTTACATGCACCATCAACGGTGACAGAAATTGGTCCAATCTTGGTGTCACATGGTACCGTGATGTAGATCAAACCACCAAAGACATTCGCAGCTTGTGTTGTGACTGAATCCAGATCAAACGATCTTGAAATCCTTGGGAATCGATGCAATTGTTCCTTCTTCTCAAGATTGTCAGTATGGCAGCCTATCAGTACACATAATTTACTATCAATTGCTTCACCTGGAATTGTTACATTAATGATTTCGGCAGGTGCAGCATACAGACCAGTACTACGTCTTACAGCTTTGTTGGCAGAAGGGAAGTTTCTTAGCAGGCCATCATAAGTTGCGTCGATTGTTATTGTCGTAGATGATGGTTGGATGTTTGATGAAGCTTCTCCAGGAAAGACTTCGCCGTTCAGTTTCAATTGTTGTAGATCGGAAGGTTGCAATCTCAATGCCAGTATGCTGTAAATGAACGCGTATGAAGCCGAAACTGGCTGAGTCCAAATGTCTACAGGCGATTTCTTTGTTGGTATAGCCACTGGGATTCTTTGAAGATATTCTCTAGCTAAGTTGAATACTATCTTACACGTCAATGGTAATTCCTCAAGCGCTTGACAAATACTAGTTCTGTAACTCTGCTGTTCTGTCTCGTCCAATTCAATTTCTCCATCAGCATGTTGTAAGAATCGTTTTAATGCCAAGGTAACATTAAGAATATACTGCATCTTTTGATTTGCTGTCTCATAACCTTTACCTCGCGCAGGTTTTTCACTTATCATTATGCCTGCTGGTTTAACAATGGCACTTGTGCTGTCATTTTTAGTAATCCAGTTATGACCACCAGTAAGTAATCCTCCACCAGTTGATAGGAAGCTGTAGAATTTATCAAGTTGATGTTGTGTGTATTCGTGGCTACTATCTGCAACCAAAATATCCAGATCTCCAAAATCATCATCAATATTAATCCGAATTACTGTTAGTCCTAGGTTTTCTACTGTCTCTTTCAACTGATCTTTTACAGGTTTTAGAAAACCAATTTTGGCTGCAACTTTATTTCTCGACATCCACCTGAACGTGTTCTCTATTAATGTTTCGATGCCATATTCTCTGCATTTGTTGAGGATACCGTTATGTCCCCAGTGCATAGCTCTTCCAAGACCAACATGGCTAGCTGCAACAACTACGCCGTCACCATCTTCTCGTACAACTACCCCAAATGTGTGTTCACCATATAGTAGCAATTTTGAAGGTGAACTATTTTTAAAATCGATCTGCTTTCCAACTTCCTTGAAAATATAATGCAATGATTCTGACGGCTCAGGTACTCCAACATTGTATTCACTGCTTTCTTCTGATACTTGACTGAGCAAAGAGATTCCACAACCAGTTATGAAGTTGTTAACCGATTCTTGTAATGAACTTAATTCATTAGCACCAACCAGTAAGCCACCACCATTACGGACAAAGCTATCAACAAACTCAGTTTCTGCCTCATTTAGCGCTATTTTATCTGTAAATATTACGTCTACATTCGTCGTGGATGCTGGAAGAAAATCAAAGACATCAAATCCAGCGTCTGATAATCGTCTTTGTAGAGTATCGCAACCTGGAACCCAGATCCCAACACGAGAACTTTTTCTAACCGTAAGCCACCTGAACGCATTGTTTACTAAGATATTAAAGTCGTCATCCTCATTCTCACTGGTGACGAATTTTTTGTTTCCAAAAACAACGATTCTACCAAGTCCGTGAAATGCTGCTGCAACAATAACCTTATCCTGTTTAGTTCGTACAAGAGGAAAGGTCGAGTCCCCGTTAAGTTTGCACTCAAATGGAGGGCTATCTTTAGTGGTTAGCTTCTTAACGCCATTAAGAATAAAAAGTTGGTCAGTTGTAGGGTCCATGGAGCTTCTTCATTGATCTAAAGGGAAGCAAAAGTTATATCATTATAATTATCATAATAATAATGATAATCGTCATAATACATAATGGATGTTCTGTAAGACCTGCCAAAACTGCAGTTGCCTGTTTAGAAGAGAGCCCTCTTTCGATACATTTATCAGATTCACTGACCTCTCCACCCCATTTTAGTGGTATTGATCTACGCGCCATCTGTGAGACAGCTAATAATAGACACGGCACAATAAAACGTTCACTTGTTTAATAAATTATTATCATTTTCTATGTGAGCACTCTAGATGTCAATCAATAATGTAATTCAAATCCATTGTCTGTCATACAATTCAAGTAAATGAAAGATAGAACGGTTTGTTCGCATCTGTAAACAAGTGACGAAAAAATAATAAATTGCTACAAAAATGAATCATTTTGTTTATAATAATTTAAGAATTTAAGGAACCAACCAAGACAACCTATTATCGGGCCTATGCCTCCGGGTCGTTTTGGGCCACCATTAAAGTATGTTCGGCCGGATGTCTTACAGGACTAATCCGATTTAGTATATGCCAATAAAATATTACAAATACAACAATAAAACGTAAGCATAAACACGATTACACATACGAAATGATAATCATGGCAAGATTGACAAATACATAGGTTACGTCAAATTCCAGAGCCCACATGTCTGAAAAACAAGTTACCACATAATTATATACATTATATCCCGTTGCAAAACAACTATATTTATCATAATTGCATTATTTTTGGACAGGCGAATAAAAGCTATATTGTATGACTATCATAGCATTTATATAGTGCTTTTTCAAGAAGATGAGAGCGCTCAAAAAGTGTACTACTATAGTAGGTCATACAGTAATTTTCTTCTCCCCAAAGGGTCTCTTCGTGCCTCAACTACCCCGTAAACCGGTACCAGCTATCGTCTGCCCACAACAGGGGTTATTAATCCAGTAGGGCCTACACCGACTATGAAATGTGAGACAACAACAGTTACTTCAGATTATAGTATAGTACATGCTTATCACATTACCTGAGTTGATATGTGTGAGTTCCATTAGGCCTAACATTAGTCGTCGGAGTCAACGATGTGTACTGCAACGTTGCAGAAACACTGCGGAAGTGATTGATTTAGCATACCGTATTATTCTATTGAGTTGAGGTCAAATGGTTTTCTTTTTGAACAGATGCTAACTGGTCTGACAGATCGGGGAACGAAACGTCACTGTCATTATATGTTACAGCTAATAATTATCCGATTCACACTAGGAAAACATTACACGAGTAACATAGCGTCTTGTGAATGCCTATCTGTGTATTAGAAATTTAAAATCTTATCTCTTGTTAATCAGCGTTTAGACTAGATAAGACTGGGTTTAATAAACTTATGTTATATGTCTGAGCTCAGCTAAAAAAAAATGTTTAATTTTAAATTTAGCATTAAATAAAATCGGAACTTGCAAAAATTGTCTTCTCTATCAATATCGTCCTCATTTTCTTGCTACCATCATTTAAAGACATATGGAGAGAAGAAGTTAAATGTCGTTAAGGTCTCTGATGATCTTTAAAAGCCCCATCTTAAATCATTCTTATTTGATATTCTCTAATTTTCCTTCACTAACCTTTTTTTTTTTTTTGCTTTTTTTCACTTTCTCTATGTGTGTAGTTTTTCTTTTGCCGCTTTCTTTTCCGTTTAAACCATTTATTTGGTTTTGTTCTTTCCTGTCAGTGTCCTGGAAAGCGCATAAAGACAGATGTTGTTTGAGCTATACAAGTGTACAACCATTGGCAGTATTCGACTGGTCGTTCTTCGTTAAACCACGCCCAGCCGCGCAGTGGTAAAATCCTACTTAACGAAGACGACCAGTCGAATAGAAAACTGGTAAATACTCGACAAAACAAAATGGCTGCAAAGTTACCGCGATACACGCTGTGTAATCAAGGCTGCTTCGGATTGTAGCAGTATGGATTTTGCGTAAAAAAAATGTTTTCATCCAGTTTTTTAATTATGTTAGCCTACAATTATTTTTAGACTTCAATGTGGGTAAATATTATAATTTTTAATTTCTGAAATTTAATTTAATTTATATTAACGCAAGTTTTGTTGCTAAACTGACCAATCGGCCATATTTTGTTTTGGTCACGTGCATAACTTAACGCTGATTAACGCATTCTGGTTACGTTAATATTCGTTGTCAACGAAGTCTATTTTACGAACTAGTCAAATGAAAAAAATACTCAACGAAAATTCGTACTCAACGTAATGAACCAGTCGAATAAGCCCATTGACCCATTAATCTGGCATGATTTTCGAAGGAAACTGAATTATTCCTAGTTCGTTCGCTGGAGGTTAATCATCTGGACACATATTTGATCATTTTACATGAGCAGATGATAGACCTACTGCCATAAAAATAAAGCTGAAATATTGTTAATCACCGTAGGCCTAACAATTATTAGTTAGATCATATTATGCCTATACAAAAGTATTAGGCCTAAATAAAATTAATAAAATAATATACGTCAGTACGCCCCACCCCTTGGATATTGTTGCTAGCGGTTGGCGCATCGGTTGTGGCTTGGACTCCCAACCTCGAGGTCGGGGGTTCGAAAATCTCGTTGTGCAAATCGCTTGTGTCCTTGGGCAGGGCACATTATCTACAACGGTTGCCTCTCTCCACCCAGGAGTACAAGTGGGTACCTGGTAGGTTCGAACACAACTGGGCTGATTACTAGCTGCAATATTTATGGAATTCTCCCCAGGGAGCTGAGTATGTGTTCCATATGTGTTGGATCCAATGACCGGGGTAGTAATGTGAAGCGCTTAGAGGCATTGTGCATGAAGCGCTATATAAGAGCGACATATTATTATTATTAAGGTCCCAAGAAGGACAGTGTTAAAACCATAGAGTTATTATCATAACTATGTTAAAGCACGGAAATATACGTGCGTCTGTTGAACAAAATATGTGTTTGTTAGACACGCACGCGTATTCCTGCCCCCTGTTCTGATTGCTCAGTTACACTCTGTAAGGGTCTATTCTATTCTGGTTGCTTGATATCTGCTCTAAAATTCTTCACTGAGCTAAAATGAAAACAAAAAACAAAAAAACAAAAGAAAAAACAACCATATATATTTTGCGTACATTCGGAAGCAGTTAGGTTGACGTAGCTGTCACGTGGCTGCAGGATCGGGCACCTAGGCAAAGGTGCACTTCTTTTTTTTTTCTTCATCATAGAATTTATTGATATTCTGTATTATTGTCAAGAGCAGTTATGTTATTCAATTTACTGACAACAATTTAGAGCTTCTTAAATGTTAATTACAGATTCACCCGTGTTTTGTAATTAACACCATCATTTCGAATTGTGTCTGTAATTAGCACCACTCTTCGATACCAAGCCAAGCCTAATGAGATGCTCTTATAACATGTACGGTGAGATTTTATGATGCTATATATCATATGCCTACATTATTTTTATAATTGAAAAGTTAAGTAAATCCTTGCGTGAAAAATCCTCGATTTCTTTAGCGTGAAGCGAATGAGAGGTTATTTCTAGCAATGTACTGAAACAATGAGATAATGCGCCTTTGCATGAGTAGCGCAAGGATTTGCATGACGGGGCTCTGAGGTCCTTAATGGGTGGGGGAGGGCAATGTCCCTGGCAAGGGGTGCAGATATCTTCTACAACAGCAAAGTGGGCATAATAGGGAGTCACTCAAAATATTTCGATAGTAGAAACATGTTGACAATTTAGGGGTTTCAAATGCTTAATTTAATCGATTTTAGAGTCTACTAATAATGTAGAAAATACATGATTTTTCCCTGAGGAATTGTGTTTTTTCTCCCCAACGGGGGGTGGGGAGAGCCAGCTCTTACAAACGGGGGTGAGGTAGGGGATGGCGCCTTGCTCAAGGCCACCAGCGAAATGACATCCTTATACAAAGCGATGGATCGAATTCCCGACCTCAAGGATGAGAAACTAATCCATTCCACTGCGCTTCTACAATATCAATGATTAAAAAAAACTCGTAAATATTACAATTTTTCTATTAGAAAATATCAGTCCATGAAAAATTATACATAATCAGAAAGAAAATAATTATGCATAATAGTGGAGAGTGTTTCTATATGCCTATCTAAATTCATAATTCAGATGATAGTTCATAATAGATAGATTTATGATATACCATAATGACATATTCTCATGGAATTCGAATTGTGTATTGATATAGCAAGGTAATATTTTGATAATACTGTAGGTCTATACATGTTTGGATTTCGCGACGACTTGGTGTTATTTTTCTGTGGATGGATACTATTTTGGCACAAATAAGTTTCTATATCTACAAAGTGATCATCTTGGAGGCAAGTCTGATGCCTGATCTGCTGTAATTATAAGCAGAGTGTAGAGAGGATGTGTAAGGTTTTTAAACTATCTTCGAATGGTATTGACATACAAATTAGGCCTAGATTTTGAGCAAAGAAGATTTGTGACGTGATGCTGTAATCCTATTCCTATTTCTCGTATTAACGAAGCGTTTATACTGAATTCCAATTTTCCGATCATAGAGCCTATCGAAGCAATCAGAAAATCTTAGTTAATATTATTCTTCTTTGAAATAAACAGCTTAATGAGGGTGGCAATTCTTGCATAGTAAGCAGGGAGTATTATCAATTATTATTTGTTACTAATTACCAATTAAAATTATTTAATAATCATTGTTCATTATTATGAAATATTTATTATGAAATTACTAATTAATAAATTTATTGACACTACTGTTCAATAACTTTCGTATTCTCTAGAGAAACAGAGTTAGTGGTAATTCTTCGAAGCATTTGGTTTTCTGAAAGTAGGATTTTGAAAGAGGCTTCTGCTTACAACTAGCCAGTGTTACTACATAACATATGGTTATTCCAGCTGGTAAAATTTTTTATACCTCCTTGGTATGGTTATATATTATAGTAAAAATAAAATAAAATGATAATTGCCTAAGTAATAATA